ATACTTAAGCACAGATATGACATGCTAAGAAAAAGCACAGGTCATGTACTTCAGCCGTGATGTCATATAATGTACACTGCAAAGTTCTCAACTTCTCTTCTTCGATGCTCTAAGAACCAGAACACCCCTCCCCCTGCGTTTCATAGGACTTCTTCACAGAAAATCAATGCAAACTTCTGTGCTGAGGTGGGAACAAGTCTAAACACTGCCACAGGATATAAACAGAGCATAACACACAACGGTAGAATTTAGAAATTTGGTTGTCGGTTGCTCACCTGAGTAAGTTCTTTGTCCTTATCCTTGGAGTCTTGACGCCACCACCCAAAATACTTGTTCCAGTGCAAAATATTCCCCTGAAATCATGCAGGTAAAAAAGAAAATCATCCCTTAATTCATCCATTGGAAACAGTACATCAGTTTCTGTAACGAAAATGACTTTCATTTGTCCTCTACATCCTGAAAATTTCCTTTTGCAGGGGGGACTGTCTCCCCCTTTGGGTCACACCGACGGGACACTTGAGTTGCCTCAGGAAGAATTCTGGAACTGAAACTGCGGTTTTGTAAAATGCATGTCAAAGTGCTTGTCAAATTGCATGTCAAAGCACTTGTCAAATCGTATGTCAAATCTCGTGCAAATCACGGGACGAAACCGCAAGTCAGAATACAACACAACCTGGAACTGAATGACTTGTGATTGATGCATGAATTACAGAAGCCTAATTGCAACTCTTCTCAACTCAAAGTCTGTACAAGTAAAGCCTGGATTGTAAAGTGAACAGATAAAACAATATTGAGCAAATTTATACGTGGGACGAAAAGGGAGGGGAGAGTGTAAACCCAGATCCTTGAATAAATGCGAAAATAACTTTTGGCTGCTGACCTGTCTTCTTCAAGCAAACATTCACTGCTCTTAAGCTGGTTTGTGTGCCTGGCAAAGTCAATAATGCAGGGGTAATGGAGAATATGTATAGACTTTATTCACGTGGAGGCTAATTTTGATCTTATTCCCAAAATCTGTTCTGCATATTGCAAACTGTCGATTAGGATGGCACCAGACTGTTTTACACTTCCGTGTGTTCCAAGCCTCCCTTTCAATAATTTTCAGAATCTGGCAATGTAAAATTCTGTAAGTTCAATCATGAATTTGAAATCATTCATCAGAGTAGACAGGTGTAAATTTGTCATAAAATGTCATTTTATTGCTTCATTTTTACTCTCAACATCCAAAAATGAAGAGTTAGCCTCGCTTTCAAATTCAATATGGCCGGCCCCGTGAATAAAGTCTATTGGCAACCTTCAGGAGTACTCACCAAGCTGCACCCACCACAGATAGTGATATGGAGAAGGCAATGCCCAGATTGGCCCACATGAAAGGTGAGATAGACACGAGGAGCCTGACAGGGTACAATAAATACAAGAACACAACGGATGTCAGACTTCAATCAACTTGGCAGTTTGATTGTGATAATGAAATGATGAGTTTGCTCAATGACACTCTTCTTGACTTTGAACTAAGGGTGGGAGTTTACGCGTTTAAACAAAAAAGTTCCAAATCCGTTTGCAGATTTTCCTAAACGTTTAAACGGATTTGTCCCTTTTAGAGGTTTGAAGTTTTAATTGATGCAATCTGGCATGCTTTTATTGTAAACGATGCCCTTTACTGCTCGGTCGTATCAAAGGAATACTGTGAATTCATCCGGAGGTTTGTGTCAACTATTTACAAGTACACTGCACTGACAACAAAGATCTCTCAACTTACCATCCAAAGTCTAGCCTGTACAGCTGGTCTGTGAAGATGTAGGCAAAAACTGAATAAAAAGAGAGAGCAAACACGTCGGCAGAATTATGGTAGGATATTACAAACAGATAGAGATTACCTGCAAGATGTCAGATTAATGTCCAAGGAAAATATTCAAATACCAGCATCACATTTCAGTAATTATAATTATTATTATTTCTTTGACTGAAATGAAAACCAAACACCAGTACAACAGTATTGTTACTCAGAAAGTGCATATGAAATAAATAGTATACACACAGACAGCAATAAGAAAAATACTGTACATAGATATGATTGGGATGTTTTATTTCAACACCTGCTCAAGTCATTTCCTCAATCCCGAGACAAAACGAGTGAAGGTAACAAAAGACATATATGTACATAAAACAATTGCTTGCAATAACAAAACTCAAAGCATGGTTCCCTGACTGACATGATCCGGACAAACACACGGTCTCTGGTACCTGACTGCCTGACTGACCTCATCCATTTCCTTCTTTGGCGGGTCAACGAGACCATTCAAAGTCTATTTCAGGTGCTTTGCTAATTTGATTGGAACATTTTGGGTAATTTCCTGTGCAAAACAGATTGTCCCAAGAGACCGATGACTCATATCATGCCAGAACATGATGCACATATGTACAGGCATTATCTTGTAATCTATGTCACTGTTATGTTACTGCCCCTTTGACTTCTCCTGATGCATGGAACTCGTGCACATTCAGCCTTATTGTCTTGGTACACTGATTGCGCTGCATCCTTTCTTAAATTAGTAAGTCTGAAATTTAATAAACAATAAGTTTCTACATTAATTGCCTTCATCTTTATGTATAGGATCTCAAAGTTTTGGAAGGCTTCCCTTTACACAATTGATTTAGGAGACCGTCAATGCACATTGGTACATGAATTCTAACATCGCCATCACAATATTTCAGAGAGAATTCCACATCTGGCTACCACTTTTCTTCCTTACAGTGACTGGAAAACTACCTAAATGTGTAAATGTAATGAACAAACATTAATTAAGCCTTGATTCTGAGAGAGAAAACTCTCCAATTTCTTGACCCCTGGACTTGGTGCATAAGGTCTGATGCGGTGGCCAGATATATATGGAACTCTTTCCTGACTCTCAGTTACCTATATATGTCCCCCTAAGAAAGTATCATTTACATGTAGCCACATATTTCAAAAGTGAGTTCCAATCATGTGCGGCCTTTTTTCCTCCATACATGACCTAAATTTAACAAATAAGGATACTTTATGGTCAACATTAATCCTAACAGTTCCTTAATCTTCCACTGTGAATATGATTTTACTTGTACATACATGTACACCCTTGGGGGTAAGAGTTACTAAAGACTGGAAGAATTCTTTATATGCCTTATCGCAAATACTACGTGGGTGATTTTGCACGATGGTAGAAAGGCATTGTGGGAAGGAAAAAGGTTCAATATTTGCTCCTTTTCCCTTCCCACAATGCCTTTCCGCCACTGTGCAAAATCACCCATGCAGTATTTATGATAAGGCTTACTGAACACTGGCAACAAAGTACAATTTGGAGTGTCATAAACACGAAGTTTACCATGCCTTTCAAACCTGTTCTCCCTAGGTACCAAACTCCTCTCCTTACATGCCTCACTCAAATCCCCTGAAATAAACCGGTGCCATTTGTAAAAATTTGGAGGAACAGTTCCATTCCTGAACATCACTTGATAACCTGTCCTGCCTGTGCATAAACCCTTCGTGAGTGGTCAGGAAATGTTTCAGTGTTTCAAAGGAAATGCTTCAATATTTTCCCTGACTTAAGGATGTTATGTGACACTGGCGATAGCTAATGATGTGACATGTTAATGTTATGTATGAAATATGATTTACCTGTGTATGGAATTCTCTCCCAATTGTGATTCGACTTCTAGATTATCACCCAAATTAATAACCACAGTTGAAAATTTAAACACCTTAAGAGTTAAATTCATATACATGATATACGCAACTACATTTCTTCATAGCCATGGTAACATCAGATGTGAAATGATAAACACTGAAATTAAACGATCACAGAGTCAAACTCAAAAGATCTCGTCACTGACATGTATGACTGATTCAGTGATTGTTTGGCATCAGGAATTACATACAAGTTGTAGGCCTAATTATGGTACACTTTTTCGAAAACAATCTCCCATTCATACTTACAAATACCGATGAATATCCCGGACAGCAGGAATGTCGTGACATACCCAACGTAACCCATTGTGACTTTTGAGTTATAATTTGACCCTAAGTGCGAAAAAATGGAGAAACAACACCGCTACATACTCCTCGGTCGGCAGATGCGAAATTTGTAGTAATCAGACTGGTACCGAAAGACAGAATTGAGTCATATCCTTCAACAGGAAATCATCTTGGTTCTGATGGTTGGAGTCTAGGAACTAGTCACTGAAATCCCGTGATGTGACGTAAAACTTGGTAGTCTTCTTCTCGGGGCGAGCAACGGATCGCTTGCATGGAGATTAGATGCCTTTAAAACTATTAGATAATAATTTTGTCTCATCAGTCTCAAAAATAAGGATCGAAGCAACCTTTTCAAAGGTTATTTTTAGGGGGTGTGGGGGGAGTGGTTCAGTCTTTAATTTTAGCATCCTGTCCAAACCTAACATATGTATGTAAAAGACTGATACCTTGTAAGATTTTTGTCTTCGGCAAAATGTAGAGGTGTCCTAGAAGCATGGATTACAATCAATATCGGAAGTGACCAGTTGTTTTACCTGTGAACAAAGAAACTCCATGGTTTCAATTGTTCAACTCTTCATCTTGCTATTTGATGTTTAGCTTTCAGATGAATACACAAAAAGCCGAAGTAAAAGGAAATGCCAAAAATAAATGTCTGAAAAATATTTAATGCAACCATTAAAGCTTTTCAAAATGTAAATGAAAGGGTCCCATTATGAAGACCTCAAGATAAAAAAATTGTGCCACTCTATGGCATAAAAATACATGTATAACTGATTGTAAAATGTCTGGTCTCATTTTAAAAAATTGCATGTATTGTATAGCCAACTGTATAGCCAACAATACGCCGTAAAACTGTTCAATTTTCAAAATAGGTTCTTCAAAACTGGCATTGTTAAATTATTAGAAAGTAGACAGAATAAAAATCTGTTATTTTTTTTGGAAAATGAGTATTTGAGCTTGTGCAGAGGTTTTCAAACATTATTTACAAATACTTACCAACAACTATAAACTCGAAGTTGGAGTAGGTTAACAAAATACAAAGTGCTCAATAAGTTAATCTAGTATTACAGCTAAACTGACCAATTTCACAAAACTGCTTAGAATTTCTTTCATCAGTAATGACACAAAATATCTGCTTAGCAACAACAGGATACCAGCCACATTTCTGTGGGGTATACATTAGTTCTGACTGGTGTGGAGCAGACTTGCTCCTCTTCTGAGGAGCTCTAAGCGTATGGCCAAACAAACTCATTGTATTTTAATATTCTGTGGATTTTGTTAGTGTATCCAATTTATGTAATAAGTAAATCAAAGTGAAATACCGATTTAACCAAAACAGTGAAATCATAATTTCAGGGAAAGGTGCAAGTGGGACTCATTTTAGTTTCTAAGCCTGGAAACAATACTTCTATCATTCAATGTATTGTTCTGCAATGCTATGTTCAAGGCTTTGTTCAAATGTTTACTTTATACAACTTATTTAAATAGTGAACTCATAATTTCCAGAAATTCCCCATTTCAATGAGAAATCCTTTCAGCAAGGAAAAGCAATTAACTATACAAAACAAAATAGTTTATTAAATTACAGGTCGTCATTTCCAGTTTGTAGAAAATGTGACTTTTATGATTAAGTTACAACTTAAACTTAAGTTCACCCAGTTAGCGATTAAATTTCCATTACCTGAAAGTAAACACACGGCTAAATTTGCAGTTTAATTCTAAACCTTAATTTTTATCCTTTGAAATGATTAAAAAAATACCATTCATCTCTATATTCATTTGTACATGAAAGACGACCAAGTTACAATAATGATGATAAATCTTTAATCACATTGTAAAATATAAAATCAAATTTTAAACCATCACACACAAATTAAAAGATGTGTCATTATGCATGCCATGAAAGTTCAGGGTTACATCTTCTCTGAACTGAACATCTTTTGCCCAAGACCAGACAAGCTGTTCCACTGAACAGCAATACACACGATTAAAGCATCACTGAGTCAAATTTCAAATTGGACAAAAATTTGCAAATGTTCCGATGAAATGTAAAGTTGTAATATTCTCTTCTCCTTCCCGAAATAATTTCAATGCAATTTACCAACTGACTTCAGCCAAGAGTCAAGCTATTTCTTCAGAAAAGACATATAGGTGTGGCTCCACTGTAGTTCTGTATATGCTGTCCTGAAAATCCAATGCTCTTTCAAAGTGGTACCTTTTCGTGAAAGTGCACACTGTATGCACACACTTAAAATCTAAAAGCAGCTGAGACGACTTAAACTGGACATCTGACCTGCTACAGCTCAGGGGGGTTTAGCTGATACAGTTCATGAAGCAACAGTCAAATTTTGCAGCAAGGTCTGGACTTTCCCAACTCTTTGAAGAATGGTTCAATTGAATGTTTTCAGGAACAAGAATTGAAACACAAATCTTGGTGAAACGACCATTACTTGTTGGAGAAGTTTTTCTAACCCTGGCTATCAACCCCTCCCAAAAAGGAGACATTTTCAGATTGGTCAATTTACAACATAATGAAATTATTGCTGACGTGCTTTGGTCTAAATGAAACCCCTGATTTGGTGCTCAAAACCAATGGTTCAGGTAACTCAATGAAGACTGTGATTGTTAGCCTTTCAAGCAATGGTCAAATCCACACAGCTGCTAAGCACGAAAAATATACACTTAGCAAAGATGGGTGACCAGCCAAAGCGCTATGCAAAGCGTATTACTTCAGACTGGCTCTTCGTTCATTTTTGCTTGGCACAAAAAACTGCTAAGCAATGCTATCCTGTCGAGCAGCTCCATGATATTTGGCCATAATACCTTGTAAGTTGGTCAGTAACTGTGCTTCTGTTTCCAACATCTACATTTCATACAGCTGCTAAAAACTAAACCTAGAAAGTCTTTCATTAGAAAAAAAATACCAAAGTGGTATTGTGTATGACTTAAAAAGTTTCCTAAGTTTGCACCCTGTTTATCACTCTTAACTTTCCTTTACTTACAAAAGGTGTCTTCAAAAATACAAGCACTGTTAAGAACAGTTTCTCCTCTTATACTCAGTGTCTGGCCATGGTTGCACCTTCAAAAGACCTTTCCCCATTTCCACAACTGTTTGTTTAAGACATCCGGAAGCAGTTACATGCATCCACAATTTTCCGAATGTTAAACTGCTAATGTCATCTCTCCCTGGTTCCCGTCATCACAATGCCTTCTCCTGACATGACAGAATACCAGCAGTCATAGTCTGCTCCCAAGGCGTCACCATCCTTAGCCTCCTCTCGAGGAATCACCGACTTTCCCTCCTCATAAGTTGTCCACGGACATGCTGGGGTAGAGGCGCGACATGCGTTGGCTGATGGGCGTCATGACGGTTGGACTGCCAGCTTTGTTCCATGTCCCAGTACTCCTCCTGAGGCTAGACGGTCTCGGTTGGATTGGCCTGCTCAGAAAATTAATGAAAAACCACAGAAAGATAAACGAAAATCAAACAAAAATAACTTTTGTCAAGTTACACTAAAAGAACAATTCAGTTCACCAACTCTTCACAGATATGCAGCAGAATCCGTCAAAACATATAATGATAATGACCATGATGAAAAAGTCAGGAAAGTGTTCAGAATACCAAGGTTGGCTTAGGCATTCTATAGTCACCTTCGATCTTTGCCAATCTTGACTCAATTCCCACTCGTACCCTGAATTTCAAGAGTATCTCTGTATCCTGTATAGAGTTCTTTCCCTCCTCTCCATTTTCAAGTGGGCACAGATCTAAAAGAAAACATGCAAGACATTTGTAACCAGTGGTCACTGACCTCTGCACTGGCCCATCACCCATAGCAACTGGTGCCCCTTGACCTTTGGCCTCGGCAGCAAACTGGTAGACAATCAGGAGGCAGTCCTGGCAGAGTTGGACGATCCGACGGCAGCAGCTCATCTCGGAGCTAGAAATGACGTCAGAGCTCTTGCTGAAAATCATCTCCCACGAATTCCTGCCAAGAAATTGAGGCAACGTAAGACCGATATTTTGCCAGTCCCTGAGCACACATATGATCATGCCTTCCTTGGCCAAGGCTACTATGGATTAGTTTATTGTCAATGGAAAATTCTATAATTGCTACAGTGATGGAAATACAGGAAATGCAGTACGGCTGGAAGGATTGCTTCGGAAAAACTTTTTGTTCTTTCCAAGAATTGATTCTTTTGGACAACCAGAAACTTTCATCACTTCCTTGAACCTTTCTTTTTTGGATCAAGACATGGCATGACCAGTTCTTCCATCGAATGGTTACTATCGGTTCAAGGCACATTGGCGTTTACGCCAGACTCATTCATGGAAAAACAGCTACTTTGTTTTGTCTTTGATCTTTGAAGATTTTGCTATGACACCGACATCATGCCGTCACACCTTTAAGGACTGCATACTGACCCTAACAGTCCTCAGTCCTCCAACAGGTGAAAGATTGATGACCGTTAGGGTTAAGGTCACTCCATTCTACAGCAGTATTCATACTTGTCATGCACTGGGGTTACATGGGAACTTGGTGCCTTTCTCTTTAGTGTCAGGGTCTGTGGTTGTAGTGTGCGACCTTTGCACTCGTGCCACAGAACCAATTGAGGCAGTCTCCACCAGTCTTTACCACAGACTGGATACACAAGTTACAAAATTGGGACTTACCCTGTACTTGAAAAGCAGTTCCACAACCCTTGGCCGTGGCTCCATAAAAGTCTGTTGAAGACGCGGGCAAAGATGCGAAACAGTCGAAGGTTGTCGACGTCATTGGCATGCCATGTTCGTTGGAGGAGGGCTCGGACATTGGTCCGGACAATGTCGATGACCTTGCGTCGCTTGATGGAGTCCAACTTGACCAGCCAATAGGATGCTATCCGTGGCTTGTGGAATTTCCAATTTTCCTGAATCTAATTGGACATAAAATTGGAAAAAAAAAAGAAATGAGATACCCGTTTCAAAAAGTTTGAGGCTATGCTTTAATTTATAGATTAAAACTGCATATCATATTCCTCCCAAACATATGACACAATATTGTCACTTTACTTGATGAATTAAAATTTAAGTTGAAAACTTTGCAGTGAACTCTGAAAACTTTTAACAATTTTTTTCTTTTAAAGTAGATAAATCTTAGTAAAGAAACTGTCCCTGGGAAATATCATGGGGCATGGGGGACAAGACAGTTTAGGATGGGGGACAAGACAGTTTAGGATGGGGGACAAGACAGTTTAGGATGGGGGACAAGACAGTTTAGGATGGGGGACAAGACAGTTTAGGATGGGGGACAAGACAGTTTAGGATGGGGGACAAGACA